ATATATACACGACAATATATATATATATATATATATATATATATATATATATATATATATACTGTGAGTATGGTGTATGGTATCACCTCTTCAGACTTCTTGGATCGTAACCTCTGAAACTTTTCATTTTTGTTTGAAAGGTCTTGGTTTAATACAACTGAAAATGAGCAATATGTATTTTCCCCGCAAATAAGTGATACGAATGAAAGAATTCGAGTCGGGTGTAAACTGATACTTGATTGATTGAAAGCTATGTCTTTCTTATATGGAGTTGGATATGCACGTTCTGGTTTTGATGACATATTGCAGTACTTTGAAGTGCTTGTACTGTATATATGTGTTATATTGTTTGTTAATTAGCCTGTCAAAAAGCCCAACCCAACCAGTTGATAAAAAAATCACAAACATATCAAAACGAAACAAAATATTGAACACAAATACTTGAATCATGGAGCGCCAATAACGTAATGTGAAGTCAATAATTTTTGTTCTCTCCATCTGACAGGTACACTTAGGGGCTTTTAGAGAATATTAAAAATGTATTGCATTAAGTTACAAATACAAAATCTTTGGAAAAAAATGCAAAAGTCATCTTAGATGTGTGCTTGAAAGTCAGATGTTTGTATGAATGTGTGCGCAAGAAACTGTGTGTAACGGGGACATGGCCTGCTGTTATGTTCCACTCAGTATGTTATATTTTGTGTCTGTTTTTATCTTCTTTTTTTTTGTTTGTTTTGTTGTTCTGTCAAAAACTATTCTGATAGACGTTATTATCTTCTAACGTTGCACTGAGTGTCTTCTACCCCTCACTCAGCTAATCGTAGATAAATGAGTCTAAGTACAGAGGGGAGATGGTGACAATTCATGTGTACATGTTTACTCAAGGACTTAATGGATTTTTTTTTTCATTCTATCTGTAAAAAGTTTATCTACCTTATAGTGGCTTTTATTGTGGAATAATCCAATACAAGGATTATCATTGAGTATTGCACCATTTTGTTCCAATTATACAAAAAAAATGGAGAAAAAAATCAAAATAGAAAAAAGTACAAAAAAAAAAACTAAAAAACAAAAAAGGGGAAAAAAAAACAAAGAACTGTGGCCATAGATAGCTGTAGAAGGACTAGTAATCCCTATGTTAACTTCATGGAGAAATGGAAAGAGATAAAGTGTGGGAGGTGAGTTTGTTACAAGACTCATTTCAGAGGTGCCTATCTTTTCTGTTTTTGTTTTTTGCAAAAGCCACCTGTCGTTTACAAGCATTTCATTTGTCTGAAGTTCAATGAAATAGGATAGAAATTTATAACAGGAATGTTGTAAAAAATAAAAAGGACAAATTTCATCTTCCATCAAATATGGACATGAAAATCTTGCAAAATGAAGATTTATGCTACTTTAAGAACTCTGGGATTGATCAGTGTTGTGTCATATTTCAGTTTTTAATTTCTCTTTCAGTGTCGACAGACTATCTCTGTATGTATTGAGTTGTGATTATATGTTTTCTGTAAGCGACGCAGTTTGCTCACTATCTTGCACACTCAAAAGAAAAAAAAAGATGTGGATTTTGTCTCAGGAAGGCCAGGGTTCCAGATACCAACTCCAACATTTCTAAGGTTTAACGTTTGTGTGGGGGAAAAAGCAACGGAAAACAATTAAACTCCAAGCTAGCACTGAAGGTTATGAGTTTAACAGAATATAGAGAGTACCATTGTTTCTTTAAAACACAACAAAAAAAAAGTTTGTAGCAAGTTATATATTTACCAAATAAGACTGAGAATCAACTTTTGAAAAAAGTGGAGTGCTTTACATGTGAAATCTAAGTAGAAATTGCTTTACATTTAAACAATGATCAATGGTTTGATTGTCAAAAAGACAGTGACAGAAAATGCATTTGTATGTTTTGTTCTTTCTAAGTTTCCATCCTGTAGTTCAGGAGCATCGTGCAAGAAGTTTTTATTTTTAATCACCTCTCCTGTCTGTTAACGTGTCGGTATTCAATAGTTGAGAGATTTCTTAACATGTAACAGATGGTTTTTAGAGGCGGGTTGAAGTCGAGGAATAAAGCTGGTTTTTAAAGGATCATGATCTATGCACAAGTGGGAGGGAAGAGTCCAAACCCAGCTGCTGTACTGCGGGCGTTTGTCGACTCAGGCTCTGGGGTTCAGGGTTCGATGTAGGGTTGTTCTTGTATTGTCTCTTTGCTCAAATTTCCTCCACTCTACTCCCCCCCTACCCCCCCTTATCATCATCATCATCATCATCATCATCATTATCATCATCTAATGTTTTAGCAAAACTTTACATTGCGTCGCCATACTGTGTAATCCTTAACCAATGAGCGCTTATCCTGCTAAAGCACTGTGGGTTGTACTGAAAAAAAAAGCCCATGACTTTTAAGGCTGTCTGTTTTTTAAGGGGAGGGGGGTGGGTGGGGGAATGGGGGTACTTTGCCTTTGCCTTTCTCTTTACTTTGAAAAAAAAAAACATTAAGGAAAAATGTCTGTAACTGAAATACAAAGTTGTGGCTTTTAATGTTGTTCTTTTTTCTCCTCATAGAATGTGATTGTTAAGGACATGCACCGGAAAAAAATGTTTCCATGGATTATGGAGCTTCTTTCGGACTATATTAATAAATTACAAATTTTCTTGGCTGTTACTGGATGTCTTGTCCCTTTTTAAAAAACAACACAGAGTTCCTAGTTTGCTTCAGTTGTGATTCATATTGATTTAAAGTAACTTTATTTTAATGCATACTGAATATAAGCACAAAAGAGGATATTTAACATACAGTATATTAGGGGTGGGTGACATGACAGTATATAAGCTGCTTGTAGGTCAGTATTGGATCAATATGATAGTCATTTGATTAGTCAAGTATTTAAAGGTACTCTGGGAAGCTTTTCACCATTAGTAGCACTATGGAGCGACATTTTGAAAAGTTTTTGTTAGTAACTTCTGTACAAGCAAGCTGTCACACGTTATGTGATGGGGGTTTTTTGTAGGGTGTCGGTATACTTCATCAGAACAGCTTATAAAACCAAGTGCAATACTATAAACGTCTTCCAGGAGAGACGGTCAGCTAAAACTAATGCAGTCTAACAGTCCTGCAATAAATCTGCCTTTCATCTAGGTTATAATGTTCAGTTAAAACTTTCACAGATTCAACTTTATTGACTTCAGAGAATGTGGCATATGGTGCTGTTGAATTGTATTGTGTCATACTGATAGGTGTTACTATTATATTTTCCCCATTTATATTAATAATAATAACAATTAATTAAAATGACAATAAAGTTGAATCAGCATCTCTCTAAACAGTTTAAACAAAAACGGAACATTATGGCCTTTATGATGAAGGATTTATTGCGGGACATTTGTTTTAATAAATAAACTATTTTTCAATAGTTTCAAATTCGTTCAAAAATAAGCTAAGGGAGGCAGTGCATTCAGTTAGACCTTATGGACACACAATGCATTTTGGTTAGAAACAAAAACAGACATTCCTATCTGGTTATTTTATCCAATAATGTCAATTTATTAATTAATTTATCATTTATGAATTCATTTTTTCAGAAAATGTCTTTCAACATTTTGCATTGGCATTTAAATGCGGTGGAAGTTTTTGTCCATATCACTTACCCCATTGGCAGCCAATATTTATAAAGGCTCTTATGAAAATGCCAAAATATAAACACTCTTCAAATGGTGAAATATACATGCAATTTGTAAAAAACTGTCTGAGGAGAATCTTAGCTGCTTAGCTAACTGGGGTCCAGTGAGTTTCAGGCAGCTGAGTTGATAAGCTGGTCTTGTTAATTCTGGGACTCCTTCCTGGGGTGGAGGGCCCCAGTGGGGCTTTCATAATAGTTTTCGGGACAGGATTTCTTCACAGGGCAGTTCCTGTACTCAGAGGGCTCCATTTCCTGCAGATGTCGAGAGGCCAGTTTTTGACTGGCAAGCTGCACACCAGCCATATCCTCGTAGATGGGGGCCTGAGGTTGTGACTTGACTCTGCGACGCGATTTGCCCTGACAGTCACCGAGACAGAAGCAAAACAAATCAGTGGAGGGGACAAACAGAGTTAACATACTCTCGATTTCCTGTGTTAAAATCAGAGTTTGTCATTTTCTGTAGAGGCAACACCTTTAATAGGAAGCTGCGTCACCAAGTCTAATCCTCACTATGACATGTTGTACTGTTCCACTACTCTACTTGTAAAAAACACTTTGCTTCAATACTCGTATACATATCAACTAAACTAAAAAGTATAGTAGATGTTTCACTGCCTTCCTCGTTGAATTTTGAGAAAAACATGCTGGCAAAACTGACAGCAACAAGTTATGAAACTAGTGTGGTTTTGTGGTGAGCTGCAGAGGAACTCTATGGCACGCTCTCAGCAGGCAGGTGTTACATTCGTGTTATTTTCCCCTTTACTCTTGTGTAGTGTTTGAGCAGCACATTATACCACAGGTCTCCACTCACTTGATAAATCAATACAAATCCGAGGAGGAAAATGAGAATGGCCACAGCTGAGGACAAAGCATACAGCAGAGTAGAGTAGCTGGGACAGCCACACTGAGCTCCTGTGAAGAAGCAGAGAGAAAAACGTTAAAAATAAGCGCGTCAGTTTCACTGCTGCTGCTGCTGCAGGACACAAACACTCAGATGCCCCCCCGAGAAACCACACTGACACCATTCAGCTTCCGTCCCACAACGCATTCTTGTCTTTTACGATTAAATGTAGATTCATAAGATAAAAAAGCAGTACACGCTAGTAAGTGGTTAAAAAGGCAGCTCAAGTATGACGTGTTCAGGCAGAATTGCAGAAGCCACTGAGCCAAACTTCCTTCCAAGTGTCAGGCTGCAGTTATTAATTATTTTGAGGGGAAATAATTTTTTGTGGGACAGATAAGCTTCTATATAACACAAAAATCAAATGCAAACACCCAGACTGCTCATGAATAGGAAAATAAACAGCTGTTATCATCAGACAGGAGTCCAACAATCAGTTTTAAATAACCTATGAGTCAACCTCCTAAATTGTATATGAATATTTCATATCAAAAAGTAATGATAGATAATATTTCTCAACAAATAAAAAAAAGCTAAATCAATCAATCTTTTTGACTTCCTGACCCAGATCCCTCTTTAAAAAACAGGCCACAAATCTATAGTTTAATAGTTTATAGGCCAAAGAATTTGGTAAAACAGGTTGACACTAGTTTTCAGCAGCTAAAGTAAATTGTGTATTTGTTGGAGACTTTCAGCTGTGAATTAATGCACATTTGTTGTGTTTATTGTAGTAAATATTTAAAGTAGCAGGACAGTTTGTGTTGGATTTACTCCAAAAAAAAAATTAAAAAAGAAGGATGAATGATGTAAATAAGGAATAAATATCAGCCTGCGCAGCAGTGTGGTTCATTAATTATTTTTCAATAGTTTTCAACAGTGCTCTAACCTATTTTATTTTTTTACTAATCTTTTTTGCACTGCTCTGTTTCAAGTTTTTTTACTTTTTACTTTTGCTTTATTTATCCTGCTTTTATTGCCTTATGAAGCACTTTGTAACATTAGTTTAAAAATGTGCAATATAAAATAAATACCTTATGGTTTAATACTTTTGGCAACACAGTTGATAATTATAAGTAGGATAAATTCACTGTTGCTTTTGGTCATTTCATGGGTTTTGTTGACAATAAGAAATATCTTTAATACATAATTATGATTTCAAAATCTGTGAAAGAATGGTTTATGACACTGCCCAATGTTGCCTGACATCTCAGCTATAATGGAAAAGCACTTTCCTTTTTTTTTATTGTTTGCTTAAATTATACAAGCATACATTTATTATTAGTCTAAGTAAAATATTTTAACGCCTATAATTTTAATATAACACATCACACCGTACAGTCTGATTCAACAATCCCTAGTACACTGTTAACAGGCTATAGGACTACATACATCAGATAAATACCACTAGATTGTTTGATGCATTATCTGACTGAATGATTACACTCATTACATGAAGGAAAAGAAAATAAAAAGAAAAAAAATATTGCCATCCGTTACTGATGTCTATTTTGGTTTAGTGTTATCAGATGAGCACACACCCACAGACATACAAGTAAAATTAAAATAAGGGAACACTGCTATTGTGACACTGTAGGAAGTAGTCGTAAGACTTTTGCATAATGTTTCAGAGCATGTGACATCTGAAACCTGAACATACTCAACTCAAATCATCATTTGGACTAAATGGACAAAGGTTATTGTCATTGTTATGGATATTATCAGTAATGCTTATGTCAGAAAGCCAGCATCTTGAGATATCACAACTAGGCGGATAGGTCAGACACTCAGAGACATTGAAACAACAGCACAAAAGAGAAGGAGGAAACACGGGTGAAAAAAAAAGTAGGTTAGTTTGAGTAACCTGGCCATTAAGTCCCACTGTGACCCACCTTGCACAGAAACAAAGAACTGTTTTCTTCCTAGACTGGTGCTGCTGCCGGACCTGCCCTGCAGGAGCAGCTGGCAGCTGTACAGGGCGCTGTCGTCTGGCTGCAACTGCTGCAGGGTGAGGTTGTAGGTGATGCCACCGGGTCCGGGCACCGTGGACAACTGAAACTTCTCGCCGGGAAACTTGGACGAGGAGGATGCAGGGCTTCTGCCATGGTGATGCTTTGAGTGGTACAACACCTCCACAGGTGCCCGGCCCTTCTGTCGCTTCAGACTCACCCCCTCCACAGCCGAGCCCTCCCCGTTTGGGGGGAAACAGGGGAGTACAGCTGAGCCCCCAGCACACGTCTCCACCAACCCTATGTCCACTGACCCAGGGGTATCTCCAGAGGGGAGAGGGATTAACACTTAGAATATGACCTTTTGGCTGAGGGATACACTGAGATGATTTGGTGTAAAGCATTCTGACCTCTTTCAGAGATTTCATGTGAGTTTTACTCTTCCCTTTCCTCCGAATGATCAAAATATTTTTGGGGATAGCAGCAGCAAGGTTACTAAGAGGGGTTCTTAATGTATTATATATTCAGCACATGCACTATAAGTGTACCCAGATAGGACTAACTGAATGCAACCTTTACAATCTAATCGACCAAAGAAAAAATGTGTGTAGTCAACAAACACTTTTTTGGACAGAACCTTCAGGGTATCCTAAAATATGTATGTATATAATGTATCAATACCCTTGAAAGCATGTTCAGACTGCTGTAGAAAAATGTATATCTGGGGTATATTAATATTAACTGTACTGTGTATTGTTGCATCCAGAAAAAAAACACTTTTTCAGTTCAATTTTAATAAAACTAGGATTTTCACTTTTACTTGTTTTAATACTTTGTTTTTTGGTGGCAGTATTAGTGCTGGGGTTGTATTTTCAGATCTGGAACCAGCACTATGTAATGTTGAAGTATGAGGTATAAGATAAGGTAATGCATGGCCAGGCTGCTGATTGGCAATGCTTAAACACAAAACCCTCTTGCTGGGGTGTATCCTCCTCCAGCATAATATACTTTATAGCTTTAGTTAGCTCTTTAATTCATAAGAAAGACCATGTCGATACATGTAAGGATGTTTTGACCTTCTTGTGTGGTAATGTGGGTTGTTGTTTTGGAAAGTTTAACCTTCTGTGGGTGACAAACAGCTGAAAAGTGTGTGGGATGAAATGGAAGAGAAAAAAACCCCTACAACTCACCGGCATTCACAAGGAGGAAGAACTCCGTCCTTTCAGGCAATGGTTTGTCTTCTCCAAGGTGGTCATCGACATAAAACTCACAGTAGTAGCGGTCAGTGTCACTGGCCCTCAGCTGAGAGATGGTTACATTCAGAGAGTGCCTGCTCGGGTCTCCACTGGTACTGGTGCGGCTTTTGTCGTCGTTATTTGTTACATGACACTCATCCTTGGTGTGCATGAACAGCACTTCACCTGGTTGCAGCCAGCTGCGCTTGAGGTACACAGCAAAGGGCGAAGGGTTTTTCTGATCAACCACACAGGGAAGAACCACAGATTCCCCCTCATGCCTCTCCAAGAACTGAATATCACTGCATACTTCATCAAAACAAAAAAAGAGACGTGTTAGAGTACATCTGCTTTTAGTCCGATGAGAGAAGTTATTATAATTTAAGATGTGTTTAAGTTTCAAATTAAAAGTCACTATTTTAGAAACAATTACATTATATATCCAATATGTGAATGTTTAAATGTAATATTATTAGATTCGACATATTGGCAAAATTTCACACACTATGCTATAAAATGAAAACAATATTTAAATGGGATGAACAAAATGACAGCAACACCCAAGAGTATAGTCCGTGATACCACTACGAACTGCAGCCTAAAATATGACTTAGTAAAATTATTAAAAAGAATTTAAATTAATTTAAACAGCCAAAAATTTCGCAGTTTTTCTTAAAGTGGTGTGAAGTGTTACTTTGTCCACCCACTGTATAACAAATTAACTCCTGATAAATTCCTACAATTCAAACAGAAAAGAAAGAAACTAATGATCAGACAAGTTTGAACAACAGAATCAAACTTACCACATCCCGTCTGTGTAATGATGACCAGAGTCCACAGATAAGCCAGGTACTGGATCTCAGTCATCTTTCATACAGGCAGAAGACACTAATTAAGATCCTGAGGGACTTCAGTGATGTCAACCATGACAGAACTGACACAAGCAAAACCGTTTGCTTAACTGTAAATGAAACCAAGAGGAACTCCACGAAGCTCCACCTTTCAAACCTCAAGACGAGACAAGAGGAAACACACTCACCCAACACCACGTACGATGGATCAGCTCCTTCTGAGTGTGGTAAAGAATTAAAAATGTAACAGAGCTGGGACAGAAGGTTTAGTATCAGAATAATAAGTGACTGCGCAGTAAGAACAAACATGTGCATTGATGTCCCTAAAGATCCATGTTTTACACAGTCTGACAACAATTATTTTAAGTTCAATACATTCAGTTTAGTTTTTTTAAATTTGCATGAATTGTCTTTTACATGCTCGAGAAACACTTTCCACAGACATAAGATTGTTTGCATATTCCAGAGGAAATGATTTTCTGAAGAGGATGTGTCTGCTTGTGATAGTAATTTGCATCAGTAGACAGACCGTCAACTACATGGAAGGCCTGCTGACTTAAAGCTGCAGTAGGTAAAAATAACTTTTTGACATATTTGCTGGAACTTTCACTAT